TTTTGCCTTTAATAAAAAAATTGGCAAAAAGTTTCGATGGGTTTCGATTTCAATGCCTGTCGAAACCTCCGGATTTTGCCCGGCAACCTTATTTTCTACAACCTTTATCTTGTCTCCATATAGCCTTTGATAATCAACTACACGATTAATCGTATTAATAAATTTGTCGTATAATCATTCTTAGGACGGGTCTTAACTATATTTAACAACTTGTCTGTTAATTTAACAACGGATTTATTTATTATAATATTCATGTGCACAAAATTAGCTTATGCAATAACCAAAAAAAAAAAAAATACGACCAGATCAAATTTTAAAATTATTTTTGTTATGAAAACGACATGGGTGTAAAAGTGAAAAAAATAAGAGATCACGCGTAATTGCGATGCCTTGAGTTAACTATTAAAGTCAAAATGAATTAATTACAAGCACCAAAATTAAATAATAACGTTTCTGTTTTGTAAATAACGAAGTTTGAAATGCAAATAATTTATTTTTTGTTTTCTGTTTTTTAAATGATGTCTTTGAATGATTGATATGTTGCACGTTGTAACGAATATATCGAAAGGTTTTACTAAACCTATGTGAAGGCAAGAAGAAGTTTGAAAGATTTAAATATTTTATTGACAATATTATAATCTCAAGAAAAAAATAGAATAGTTTGTAAAAAAAGCTTTGACTCAACACTGCAGTCATAATTCCGGTCCAGTAACTAGAATACATTTATTGTATAAAAAAAAAACTAAGGCATAATAAAAAGCGAAAATTACTATTTTATAAATATATAAACTTTTTGTTTTGACTTTATAGTATCTTAGTAATCATCTAATTAAATAATTTTTATTATATTATATATAAAAGTATAAAAGTTTGTTCTATAACATATTTGTGTACATGTTTGTAAATCCAAGTTTATTGAGCTGCATTTTGTTTATATAATTCTAAAATATTAAATTCTAAATTCATCTAAAAAAAATTAAAGTTACAATTATAGTCATTTTACTAAACTTTCAAAATTCTGATTGTTAAAATTTCTAATGAATCTTGAACTTCTGAGTAAAGGTTCGGATTACTATATATCTCATTATCGTCGAAAAAATTAGTATTTATTTAAAGTTTTAATTGATTACAGTATGTTACATGCCATCAAATTAGATATTTACAGTATCTCTTCTTTTCGTCGTAATGTTTATATAAAGCTTTAGATCAAAGATTACGTTAACAATAAGTATCCTTGTTATTAAAAAAAAGAGTTCAAAATCTATCAAGGTATACTTAATTTAATTTCTTAAATCATAAATCACACATTTCGAAGGTTACAGTTTTTCCCATTTTGAAAGAAGTTAGAATGTATAGAAATTTTAGAAGTATAATTAATTATTTGGTTTCTTTTTTTTTTATATTTCTATTAATTCATTGGTTTTGATCTTTTTAATTTTAGTTATTTTTTTTTTTTTTACTAGTTCTCGAATTATTTTTTCAAAAATTTATTATTTTATTTTTTGGTTTCTTGGGATTCGCATTGGATCGCATGTCAATTAAATAATTGACATAATTAATTTAATGTTACAAGAGTCTAGAAATTACCTTTTATCGATTTATCCAGAATATAATTATGGACATAAAATATTTAAGTAAAAAATTCTTAGGTAAAATGGATGGTAAAGCAAAAACTAAATGCCTCTTTTGTCCTCCACTACTTTATCTTCTACCCCATTCATTACACCTTATTTTATGAATTTAAATCTACACTCTAAGAAAGTGTTTTAAATAACAATCTACTTTATTAATTTGAAGATAAATGTAGATAAAAGTTTGCTTATTAATTGTATCGTACAAGTGTTCGTTGGGTATATGGAATGAGTCGGGTCAGGCTTGAAGCATATTCAAACTCAAACCGTTAATGTTAGCAGAACTCAAATTCTACTATACCCGATTGTTGTTAACTCGAATTTTTAAAGGTAGTTCTATTAAAAAAAAAAAATCATTCCTATTTATATACAAACAATGAAATTTTAAAATTTATTTTTTTTTTATTAATCCTAATATTTTATTTAAACCAGGACTTCCAAATACATACAGACGCGAATTGCATTTGCTTTAAGAACCACATCTTTGGTTGCATATTAAATTGGTTTCGCCAGTAAAAACTCTATCGACCGATAAACTTGTTGCTTTAATAAAATAATTTAGTAATCAACAGTGTATTTTTCTTTACCTGTAACGGAAAATAATCTCGAACCATTATGACTAAATGCTGGATACTCGTTTCATTTGTCTTCACAATTTAATTGAATTTATATATTAAATAATATTATAATAAATCATGAAATATCTTTGATTTCGTGCTACATGAGGGGCAGTAAAATATAATTCCACCTCGTTTTGTTTTAATATTTTGTATTTTTACCGAAAATATTGATTCAAAATTACATCGCTCTTCATCATCAATATTTTTCAACTTTTAAATCATTTACTGCAGGCGCAAAACCAAAAACAGTTTCTTTAGCATAATGAATAAAGCTTTGCTTCCATTATGGATGTTAAGTGATCCTTAACTGCAATTTTAATGGGATCGCTAATTTTGAGACCTGTTCAAGGGACCCGTTCCTAAACCTAAATTTTAAATTCTTATTTGTTGATCTTTTAATAATGTTGTAGATATTTAGGTTCATTTTTGAAATGTTTATTATAAAAAGGAACGATAGTCGAGGGCAAATATCCGAAGACTCGAGTATTTATGGAAATTCATTAAGCCATTATACATATGGGAAAAATTTAAACCGAGAACTGAAACTATCCTTGCATACATAAAAAGAGAATATTATCCTTGGAATAATTGTAAAAACTCTCACTACATAATGGTTTTAAGAAGAAATTTATAACAAACCTTAATGGACTTGGAAGGAATTAGAACATAGTATTGAAGGTTTACGTTTACAATTCAAAAATTTAGAGAAAAGTTCAAAGAGCGAGGAGAAGAAACAAAAACCAAGCAAGAAAATATTAATAATTTAGAAAAAAAGTTTATAGAACGAGAAGAAATAAACAAAGACAGCCGTAAAATTATTAATGAATTAGAAAATAGGAACAGAAACCTTGAATTAATTAATTATGATGATACTACAGTTAGTTTGGCAATTACGGAACTTAATAAGGATGACATATTAAATACCAAAGGTGAATTGCAAAGATTTCGAAAATTAGCAAAGCTCACTTGTGATTTTACTCATATTACCAGCATACCGAACTTAATTGTTGTAACACTAAAATAACTATCCTACCAACTTTACCCACCTCCTTAAAATATTTTTATTGCTATAAAACTCCTTTATATATCTTACCAACTTTACCAAACTCTTAACGGTACTTGATTGCTTTGATACTCAAATAGATAGCTTACCAACTTTACCCAACACCTTAACTAAACTTAATTGCACGAACCTCGAGTAACAAGGCTACCAACTTTTCCCAACTCCTTAAGGAAACTTTATTGCTCTGATACTCCAATTACTATCCTACCAACTTTACCAAACTCCTTAACGAAACTCAAATTTCATGACTCTAATATAACTAGCTTACCAAATTTCCCGATATCACAGACTCCTTCAGAGTTTAAATCTCAATATACTACCTCCTGAACTTTAACTTTCTGCATAACCTTTCTTTTATGTAAATCATATGATCTGTAACGTGATTTTAATGGTTTACTTTCCATATATTTAAATAATAATTTGCGCCTATAATTTTAAACAGACGCTTTATTGTATGAATCCTGACATATTTTTTGATTGTATAGACCCCATCAAAAGTTTCTGAACACTTTTTACCTAATATTAAATAAAAATTTTTATGCAAAATAATAAAAAGTTTATATAAATTTATTTTAAATTAATAAAGCTCTAAATTTTATATTAAGCAACTAATACTTAGTCGGACCTCCTTGCACAGTAATAACAGCTTGAATTTACTGCAGTATAATATCGATTAAATCTTTGATAGACTTTTTTGGAATTTTCTTCCATGCTCTTTTAACATATCATTCTAGATCAGTAAGGTTAGATGGCTTTTTCTTTTGTTCACTAATATTTTTCTTTACTTCAATCCATAGATTCTCAATTGGATTGAGATCTGGACTTTGAGCCAGTTAAGATAATACATGCAAGTCATTTTGACTTGAAATATCATTGCAACTTTTGATTTGTGAGGGTGAGCATTATCTTCTTAGAACCAACCATCACCATTTAGAAATACTCGCCTCATGGTTGGTTTAATATACTTGCGAAGAACTACGACCGACCGTTACCATTCCAAACCCCAACCAAACGGCACCAAAAAAAAAAATAAATTTAAAAAAAGGTTTCTGATTGCCTTGAGTAATTATAAAGTGAAATCATGATACAAAGTTAAAATACGATTATATTTTCCTTCACTGGAAAAACTTTTCCTGTCAATTGTAACCATTCGATATAATTGTGTGGAATTTTTAAGGAATCGCAACGATTCCAAATAATCTTGCGCACTTTTCTTTTTTTTTTTTTTTAGGTTCCTCTTCGGATTAGAAACATTAAAAATTTTGTCTCATTTCATTTTTTTTTTTTGTTTAGGTAATTTCTTTCGGTTAAAAAAAAATTTTTTTAAAATATTTTCTTTTTTTTTTTAGGATCGCCGCTGCGGGCGTATCTTAATTTTTTTTTTTTTTTTTTTTTGCATCGAAGTTATCTAATCTTTTAATTTTTACATCATTAGTAAGAAATGCTCTAATGAGTTATTTCCGTTTTAATCAAATAATTAACCACAGAATATCAATAATATATTCTTTATTCTTTATTTTAAAAATATACATATTTTAATACAACTTTGTTAATTGATAGGCTAAACTAAAAAATAAAAATAATGAAGATAATATAAACACCTTATTCATATCAAACGTGGTAATAAATTTACGAAAAGTAATATATTAAAAATTTTTATGCAGGTAGAAAATAGGAGATGTATCTTTAAACTATCGTTAAATTTATCTTGTCTGCATTTGGTTCCTTAGCTATATTGGAGGATTTATTTGATGAGGAACAATTATTCTCTCTCTCTCCTCTCTCACCTTCTCTTTAATTCATAACTACCTAATATAATCAATAGACCACTCACTACAATTGTAGTAAGCCAATATCCCATTCCAAATTCTAATTTCTCTCCAATCACTCCTTTAACCAAATTTTGGACTGGCATATCTATACCTTCACCTGCTAACAAAATTCGTCTTGCCATAACTCCAGAGGCAGTAATTCCCCGAAGCAATTGAACAAATTGATTTCGTACCTGATCCACGCTTTTATCGTTTTGAGTCAAACACCCTCCAACTGAATTATCTGATGAACAATGAGGTATCAAAATATGACCACCATATGATGCAAGAGCTGTGTGCATAAAATCACCATAAACAGGTTTTGGACTTGA